ATGGCATTCGCCATGAGGCCATGGCGTCCACCATGGGCTTTGAGGCATGAAAAACAACAACAGAAGGATCAAATCTCTCCCACTTTAACTGATAATTCTCCACTCCTCCAACATGAATTTTAGTAGTTTTTACTAGTTTTCTAGCTCTATAAATAGGCTTAGGTCTCAGTTTTTCATTATCCAAATCTTAGAGAATTAATTTTAAGCAGAAAATCCACCAATGTAAAGCAGCTATTTCTCACACTGAGAAATTGTTGCACTTTAGCATCAAAGTTTAGGAATTTTCTATACGCACTCTGATCGATCGTGAATTAGTCTTGCCGGAATAGTTTTTCCGGATTTCAATTTCAAAATTCTATTGCTTCCAGTTTTACTCGCAGGTTCAAACTTATTGGCCAGTTTTTAATTTCTATCTTCATTTTGAATTATTATTATTTCTTCTATTACTACTTTTTTGTTCTTGTTTTTCGTACTGTTCAGTTTTACACATATACATATATTAGTTTGCTGAAACCAGTGGTGAAGCCAGAAATTTTTTGAAGCCTGGGCAAAAATTTATAATACCTAAAGTTTAGTTGCCATCTCATGTGATTTTCTGAAGCTGATAGTAATTTATCGAACACATGATTTGTAAGAAACAGAAACGAAAAAGAAAAAGAAACCTGGTTGAGGCAGTTTACCGAACACTTAGCGTGCAAGTTGCAAAACGGTGGAAACGATAACAATTCGATACCGATTCGTAAACCCACAACCTGCAACAACAACAATCATCAACAACAACAATAATTCAACATCATTAAATGAAAGAATTGAAGCGAGAAATTGATTAAAGCATCCCTAAACTTATCACAAATTAGTCACTCCCCAATATGCAATGCCGTAGGATGGCTCAAGTCTTCCCAAGCAGAATTCCCAAATTATTTGGATATGTTGTGTGATTTTATGATACCCAAAGCTTAAAACAAATTCTAGAGAGCAAGTATGTCAAATATTTTCATCAAAGCAGGTTGTTCATGAAATGAGTCAACAACAACTTTACCATTTCCTCAGATATTTGCTTCGCTCAGCAGCAGTGATTTTACTCCATGCTACACAGAAGAAATCATAGTTATCATAGTATTATGAATATACCAATGTCACACCCTAATTTTTGACCATAAGATCTCACCTCTTCTGCGCGTTTTCTATTGCTATTTGACTATAATTTAATATTTATGTTCTTTCTTTGCGACTAACCAACTTGTGCAGATGCAATAATTTCGAGTAGAGATAGTATTGACTCTCGCGGTCGATTATTTATACATAACTGACCGTTTCAACCACTTCGTTCGCATTTTGTGGAATTGGGTCTGTTGCTGAAAAGCTCAGGAAGTCTGGAAAGTTGTATGTGGACTTCTTATTCCCCACGGGCTGTGTTGAGGTCTTAGAGGAAGGATACGTTCATATTCTCACGAATTTCTAATCAATACAAGGACAATGTTTCGTAAGGTTTCAGAGTATAGTCTAATGAGAACATAATATGGCCTCACATCGGTGCCAAACGGGGTCATTATTGAAGGCAAAGCACCATATCAGAGTTAAGAAGCACATGACTAAGTGTTCGTGAACAAAGGGATTGGGCCTAGAGATGTCAATTTGTTTATGAAAAGCGTTTTAAAGACCACCCTGATTTTAAGTTTCGATTGGTCGCCTTAGACTACATATTAATCAAATCCATCTTTAATATCTACCAGTCTAAGCACCCTTTCTTTGATTCAAACCCAACTAAAGATTTAGGAAGTTGTCAAGGCAAAGGTTATAAAAGGTGAGCCAAGTGGTTGAAAGAGAACATGGAACAAATTGTTTTCTATCAAATATAGAACAAGATCAAAAGATAAAACAAACGAAGCCTTTTGAAAATATACTTTCCAAATATTAATATTATACTCCCAGTCTCAACATTACAAAGCCTAAGAACTTAAGGCCGCCTTGATTAATCAACAATACAACAGAAATCAGAAGAGGGCCACGTTTGTTACATTTATCCTTTCCCACAAGAAAATTACAGGCAGATGACCACTTCTTACAACTCTAGAGTTAAATAACTACGGTTCGGTCATTTGGCGGTTCCACAGAATTATAAGCTACCATTACAACAATACAACTACAAGAAGTTCAATTCAACTTATATACAAATCTTGAGCTCATGAGGACTTATAAATGACGCTCCGTCACATGTACCGTCTCCAGCCCTGTCTTGCCCAGAATTCCCGCTCGGTTTTGACCTGCATAGCATTGGTAACAACATATTAGAAGAAGTTCAGAGATAACTGCTTTGTGCAGCACGCAAGCGATTTGTCTAGTACACCAATAACCGTGGTATCGGCATACAATATTCCCGAAGTGACGGTCCTCAAATAACTCAAAGGAAACGTAGTATTTGAGATTTAAAAGGGAGGAGTATCAGTTCCAAGATGTCTTACCGGTTACTAATGCATAGCAGCCAAGAATGTTGAAGCAAAGGAGACATTTGTTAAATAACCCTCATTGTTGTGTTGAAGTTCATCCTGGTATGACTTCTCAAAATGGCGACCGGCGGCGAAAATGATGAATGAAAATAGAGGACTGCTTGCGCCATACGGATAGCCGTGTAATTCCTCATCAGGAACCATTTCAGCAGCCTGCAAACCAAGCCAGCATACATAATTAACCATTATGAATAGAAGGAGAAAACTAAGAGCATCAGCAAAAGTAAGACGATAACAAAGGAAGAAGGATGTATCGAATTCATAGCTTCCTGTTAGGTTCCAAATCTGCATTAACTTGAACAACAGCTAGCAGCCCCTTTCAGCATATACTAAGTCATCAGAGATAAGAACCGCAAGACAGAACTTAACAGTGCCACTATCCGGTATACCGTTTCAACCTTTTGAAAGAGCTTCTCCATGCCACCATTCATCCGGAGCTAAACCTACATCAAACAAATCAAGCGAGAGTATCAAACCATCAAGTTATGATTAAACCAGCATTCTGAAAGAAGAAAGTGATAGCAGAGAACCGCATTTGCACCCTTTAACTAAAACTATTCCTTTTGGTTCGTCACGTACGTTCCCCCGAAAGCTAGGCATCCCTTGTTTGTCAATACTTAGTTTTCCAAATGATACAAGATAAGAAGAAGTTATGGTCTCAGCCCTCAGTTCAACTCATCATGGGGCGTAAACGAGCGGCCAGGAGAGCAACAACCAAAGCTGTCACCAGCTCCCTACCGGGCATCGAAAATCAAAGTTCAGACAGGTAAAACAACTAAGCTCAAATGGATCAACACAATGCAAAGCACAAGCAACATCAGAGACAACAACAGCATTTTCATTTCCCTCAAGGCTCAGACGAAGTCATCATTGCCAATCCGGCACCTTTCTCGGCAATGGCGTAAAACCGTGCTTCAAGAAGTGCGAGGCAAAAATAGCAACACCGGCCATTGTTCACTTACAGAAGTGCACTGTTAAATACATTAGCAAAAGTCACTTGAAACTCAGAGTAGAGTATAAGGAGGTTCAGGCCCTCAGAATTGTGAAACTCATCACTGGGCATAGAACTCGAGCAGCCGGAAGAGCAACGGAGATCGTCACCAACTCCCTACCTAGCTCAGAGTTAACGCAAGCAACAAAGGAAACAAGCAACGGCAACTGTAATCCTCGGCTCAGACATAGTGTCGTCATCGCCGGCTCAAAACCCTCTCTCAGCACTCAAGATAGAGCAATATCTGAACTCGAAACCCAACATCCCCTGCAATAAGAAGAAAACATTAATACAACTTTAACATGGAGGTCAACTGGCAGCAAGATACGTCAAACATGCGAATCCAAATATCACAAATTAAGACGAAAAGGAAGGTTCAAAACTTCCCAAAATTGAAGCCCACATTTGGTCGACAGAATCAGGAGAAATTAAATATTGTTCCCAAGTCACCAAGTGAATCAGACAAAGGATCATCAGAATAGGAAAGCTTTAAAGGCAATCTTCAATGGAGGCCCAACGGATCCATCTATAAAAGGACAGAGGAAACCCACAAATCGAAGGGGAGAAGAATCATCAAAAGGGAGCCGCTGTTACGAAAAGGAGGAGACGCATCAGGAGCTCAGAGCAAAAGGGATTCATCATCGCCGAAAATCCTGAATCATCCTCAGAGGCCATCATCGCATCCTCGCCACCGTCGACGAGCCACCGTCGAATCCTGTTTGTGGGTAAAAGTTCAGTCCTGAATCACTTTGCATGTTGTTCTTTCTGTTTGGTTGCAGGTTGTCATAAAGAAAGACGGAGAATGACGGAGAAAAAGACTAAGGGATCAGAAGAAGAGGAGCGGCGATGAAAATCGCGGAATGATGAAGGAGGAGAGGGCTAACACCGCGCGAGAGGGATTTGGGGGATAAAGGTTTTGCTTTTTTTTTTGGTTTTGTTTTGTTGTAAAAGCTGGTAATATGAAGTGATCACATGCGATGCACACACGCACATACCACGCACCCTCGCACACACGGCCCTCTGATCTCCAACAGATCAGATCCAGTGATCCACATTGCACATTCCACCATAAACCATACGCCTGCGCACACCCAATCCGCGCCAGCTACCTTAGTTAATCACTTAATCATCATTTTATTAAAATAAATCAACCATAATCTTTTTTTATAGAATTAAACTAACGTATTTTTTACTGATTAATTAATCTACTATTTAATTAGACCTTTTCTCTAAACATCCTTTTATAAACTAAATAAATTCTTTTCTAAATAAATGATGATATATCTATTTTATACTTAAATAACTTTACAAATAAATAATAATAAACCCCTTTTTTTATATAACTCTTATCTTTTGATAATAATTGAAATCCATTTTATGCTTGGAATAACTTTTTAAGATAAATAGCAATAATAACCCTTTTTATGATAACTAGAAATCCATTATACTTAATAAGATCTTTTTCTGAAATTACTAATTAAACAAATAAAATAAAAAGAGTGATGAAGAAAGGACGAGGGCGGCCGAAAACCACGGTGCCACCGTCACCACCACCGGAATCACTTACCAGCTTGAAGATCCCTCAGATTGGTTCAAGAACTACAACACCACCGGACTCTAGCTCGAAGACGCCTGAGACTGGAGCAAAAACTGATAAAGGGATGGAAGCCACACTCGGGAATACAATCAAAGAAACCCTAGCAGAAGCGACAAAAGCTCAACCAGGGGAGCGGAAACTATGGGTGGATATTATAAACGATAATTGGAACCCTGCCAAGGGACTGACAGTGGAATATGTTGCGCCAAAAGTAGTCAACGGGATGATTGAAATTGATATTGAACAAGAAGACATCGAAACGGAAATACGGTTTTGGGATAATGCCCTAATTCTTTATATTGTAGGAGATGATTTAAGTATGAACACGGTGAAGAACTTTATTATCACGATGACGGTTATTTCCTGCTCAGATTCAACTCCCAGAAAGACAAGGAAACCGTGATGATGAAAGGCCCTTACACGATTCGACATATACCAATGATACTGAAGGAATGGCATCCTGGGTTCAATCTAAAGAGGGACCTGCTAAGAACTCTACCAAAATTGGAAGTGCCATTGGAAAACCCTTGGTGACTGATGAATGTACAGCAAACAAGCTCCGTGTATCATATGCAAGGCTACTGATTGAAGTGGATATTACACAACAATTGATTGATGAAATAGCCATCAGAAATGTTGAGGGAGATGTTATAATGCAAACTGTGAAGTACGAATGGAGACTAACTTTCTGCGAAACATGTCAAAAAAATGGGGCACAAATGTGAAGACCGACGACATACTCAACAATGGAAACCAAAACCTAAGCCACCAGAAACATCTAAGAACACCAGACCCTCAAAACAACCAGAAAAAGAGGAAGCAACAGGGCAAGCAGATGAAACATGGACAAGAGTGACAAAAGTTGTACGAGATAAAGGTAAGAGCATAGTGCTTGATAATAATAGCAACATCAACTGTAACAATGGGTTTGAAGCTCTTGAGGTTATAAATGACCATCAAGGGGTAATAAACCTTGAACCATGTTAGTCTCGTGGAACATAAGGGGACTCAATAAAGTAGGTAAAATTCGTGAGATTAGGTCACGTCTCCAAGAGCTAAAGCCTGTTATTATCATACTAATTGAAACTAGAGTTAAAGAAGCTAAAGCCAAGGCCGTTCGTGAGAAACAGATGATATACGACAAGCACATTGATAACTACAAAGACCATACAAATGGTAGAATTTAGATCCACTAGGATTGCAACAGGTTGGAGGTGAGATTCATTCAAAGTAGCATCCAATTTATACACTGTGGTGTCTATGATAATTGTGGAGGATTCAAGTACTGGTTAACTGCTGTATACGCGCATAACCAACTCAATAAGAGAATAATCCTTTGGAAGGATATATAACACCTATCTATTAACATCCAAGGTCCCTGGTGTGCAGTGGGAGACTACAATAATGTAACCAAAGCCTAGGACAGATTGGGAGGTAATCTAGTGACTGAAAAGGAATATGAAGACCTGATTAAAATGATGTGGAATACAGGTTTGAGTGAAATGGACAGCATTGGGGATTATTTCACATGGTCCAATAAAAAAGCTGCTGGACCCACCTACTCTAGGATTGACAGAGTCCTAAGTAATACTGACTGGTTTCTCAACAGTATGGAGACTATGCTGAAAATTCTCCCACCTAACATTTCTGACCATGCCATGCTTTATTTTGAGGATAAACAGGAACAGAGGAAACCATCCAAACACTTCAAATTTAGCAACTGCCTCATTGATCTGCCAGGCTATGATACTGTGATAAAGAAGAGTTGGGATGCTCATATCAGGGGCAGCCCAATGTATGTTCTATGGCACAAACTCAAGAGACTGCAACATGAGTTAAAGCAGTTCAGCAAACCACTGTCTGATATTAAAAGGAAGTTGATAGCAGCTAGAGCAAATCTAAAAGAAACACAAGGAAAACTGATTGAGGACAGATTGAACAGCACTTTGGTTGAAGAGGCTAAGAAGTTGATTGAGGAAGTGATTTCCATGAACGAGTTGGAATGGAAAATCCTACAGCAAAGGGAAAAAATTGACTAGATTAGAAAAGGAGATGGTAACAATCAATACTTTTATGCATCTATCAAAGGTAGGCAACATACCAACTGCCTTACCAATCTAAGAACAAAAGATGGCAGACAGTTAACAGCCAAACCAGATATTGAAAAGGAAGTGATTAACTTCTACGAAAACAAGATGGGCAAGGATGTAGATTGCATGAACCACATTGATATTGAAGCCATGAGGATGGGAAAGCAACTTAACATGGAACAAAGGGAACACCTCACCAGACCCGTTTCTGAAGCTGACATCACTAAAGCCCTCAAAGGAATAGGAGACCTAAAAGCTCCAGGAATGGATGGCTATGGAGCCAAATTTTTCAAAGCTGGTTGGGAAAATGTTAAAACTGATGTGATTGCAGCAGTTCAGGAGTATTTTGAAACAGGCAGAATTTACAAACCTTTCAACATTGTTGTAGTTTCCCTGAATTCAAAAGACCACACTGCTTGTGAAATAAAAGACTACAGACCTATAGCTATGTGTACCACCTTTTATAAAATCATCTCCAAAATCTTGACAGACAGAATAGGAGTTGTTATTCACAGTGTGGTAAACCATAACCAAGCAGCTTTTGTGCCAGGCCAAAACATTCATAATCACATCATGCTAGCAACTGAACTTCTTAAGGGATACAACAGGAAAGGGGGTACACCTAGGATCATGCTGCAAATAGATCTTCAGAAAGCCTACAATATGCTGAATTGGACTTCTTTGGAATGTATCATGAAAGAAATGGGGTTCCCTAACAAATTCATTCAATGGACTATGCTAGGCATTACCACAGTGTCCTACAGATTTAACATAATAGGCGAGTGCACTGATAGTTTGCAGGCCAAAAGAGGGATTCGACAGGGTGATCCCCTATCCCCTATGCTCTTTGTCCTCATGATGGAATACATGAACAGGCTCTTGATGAAAATGCAAAAAGATCCAAATTTCAACTACCAAGCCAAATGCGAGAAGCTGCAAATCACAAATCTCACTTTCGCAGATGATGTGCTGCTGTTTTGTAGAGGTGATGAAATATCTCTACAAATGATGCTAAATATTTTCAAAAAGTTCTCCAATTCCACAGGTCTGATATTGAATCCAAGCAAGTGCAAAATCTATTTTGGGGGTTTGGATAGTGAAAGGCGAAAGACTTTGACAGAACTGTCAGGTTTCCATGAAGGATCACTTATGTTCAAATATCTAGGGATCCCTTTATCTAGCAGGAAACTAAACATCAACCATTTTATGCCTTTGGTGGATAAAATTGTGGCTCGAATCCATCATTGGTCCTCTAGACTCCTTAGTTACGCGGGTAGAATTCAGCTAGTGAAAAGCGTAACTGCTGCAATGGTCTAATACTGGATGCAATGCCTCCCTCTTCCTAAAGTTGTGATCAGGAAAATTGAATTTATCTGTCGTAGCTTCATCTGGACCGGTAAGAGTGCAATTAGCAGAAAATGCCCTGTGGCTTGGAATCGCACCTGCTGCCCGACTGCTCAGGGTGGTTTGAATCTGCTGAATCTTCAGGTATGGAACAATGTGCTGCTCCTGAAATGCCTCTGGAATCTGTGCAACAAAACTGATAATTTATGGGTTAAATGGATTCATACTCATTACCTGAAGGAAAACAGTGTGATGAATTATGAAATCAAAGCTTACAATTCTTGGATTGTTCGCGGTATCTTGAAACAGCGTGATAACATGGAGTTTATCCGGAATGAATGGGAGCAAATTATAATTACACAAAAGTTTAAAGCTTCGGTTATCTATAAGGTGCTGATTGATGATGGCACAAGGGTCCTTTGGGGTAATTTGATAAAGTTCAACAAGGCCCGACCGCGTGCAGTTTTTTGCTTATGGCAAGCTTGTCATGGGAAGCTCGCGACCAAGGAGAGGCTGAAACGGTTTGGGATGATTGAGGACAGCAGCTGCAAACTATGCCAGGCTGAGGATGAAACGCTGAATCGCCTTTTTTTCTCCTGTCAAGAGACAAAGCTCATTTGGAAGGAAGTTCTTAATTGGTTTAATATTTCTCATGATCCCCAACCATGGGATGCAAAACTGGTTTGGATCAGCAATAACACAAAGAGAAAGGGATGGAAAGTCGAAGTTTTGAAGATGTTGGTAGCTAAAACCATCTACAACATCTGGGGATATAGGAATGACAAAACTTTTGGAAACGCTGTAGATATTACAACCACGATTACTAACATCATAGATCATGTGATCTACCGAGGGTGGAACAACAATAGGATTAGAAAACATCTTGTTAGTTTTATGATGTAATCTTGAGTCCTTTTTGTCGGTTGGATCACCTAACTCTGTACTTATCGCCGTTTTGAATTAATATACTTATTCCCTTGATTCAAATAAAAATAAGACATTTTTCTCAAATTTATATTAATTAAAATCTTTTCTATCTAATTTTTATTTTAAATCTAAAAATAAATAAAACTTTTACTAAAATTTTTATAATTAACTTATACTTAAATCAACCTTTTTCTAATTATTCAAAACTCTTTCTCCTAAACAACTTGCAATTAAAAAAAACTATTATACTAATGACAATCTTTTTTATAATCTAAATAATGTGATTTTTATTTTAACGACGCTCTTTCTGTTATTCAATAAGAAAAACTTTTTTATTAAAACTAATATAATTAATCCAACTTTTCTTAAAATCAATCTCACCAAAAATAATATTTTCTCATAAATCAACATCTCATTACTTAATCAATTGTGCGCGCTTGCGTTCCCGCTCCGGTCCGCTTCACATATTCACAATACACACACTTGTACGTCTTAGCGCTTTCATGCGTTTGTGTATGCCTTTACTTTATCCGCCATTTATATTTATCGTCTTTTACCTTCCTGCAATTTATCTTATCATATTGCGTAAACGTCCAAAGGAAGAATTTGCGCGTAACGTAAAACTTGCGCGTATGCATATCATTTTGCATCATAATCCCCGTTGATCCTTGATCACATTCAAGTCGATCTTTTAAGATAGATCCTACCCATAGGAGAGGACCTTTGTCTTTTATTTTACAACTTAGATAAAAACAAATAAACTCAATCAAACATTATTCAAACATATTAGAGAATAATATGTTAATCATCTTAAGCGAGATAAAACTTCTACCCCATAACAATTCAATCAATATGTAGGGACTTTTCCGCTTAGGAGAGATAGAGGCGTACTTGTTAACAATCTGAGTACTTGAGCCCTTCTCTTAAGACGATGCAAAGACTATTTTCCTACGAAGTTGTGGCGGTTAAATTAAGTAATCTCCCTTAAAATGACAACTCGTTGCTAGCACCTTCCCTAAGTTTAACCAACCCCCGAACCTAA